AAAATTACAATATAATTACAATTTAATTAATTTTGTCACGGGACTGTTACTTTGGGATTTTTTTGTCACTGGACTTATTAATTTAAAAATTATTTATTTATTTATTTATTTATGTATTTATTTATTTATATATATTTTTTATTATTTCATTAGCACAAAAGTGGTTTTGTGTCACAGTTTTTTTAAGTTTGTTATTTATTAAGTATCAATTTAATAGGTTGGGTGATGCAATTTATTATGTGGGTTTGCGCTGGTATTTAGTGATATAAGTTTTTTTGGTTTTTGCACCTGTGTACAGCAGCATCTCACGGGGAATTGTGTGTGTAATAAGAGAGTCCTGGGCGCTGAGTTTTTTCTTTTTTTACATTTTTCTGTATTTGCAGGGTCTTTAAAAAGATAAAGCACAGAAAATGAGGATGTATTGCAGAGATGACCCCATGGTTCCCTTCTGAGCTTCGAGCTGCCTGTATGTGTTAATGCATGGAGCCCCAGCACCTACTAATGTAGGTCTAGCTGGGGCCATGGACTTATGGGCAGCTACGCTGGGGCCATGGACTTGTGGGCAGCTACGCTGGGGCCATGGACTTGTGGGCAGCTACGCTGGGGCCATGGACTTGTGGGCAGCTACGCTGGGGCCATGGACTTGTGGGCAGCTACGCTGGGGCCATGGACTTGTGGGCAGCTACGCTGGGGCCATGGACTTGTGGGCAGCTACGCTGGGGCCATGGACTTGTGGGCAGCTAGGCTGGGGCCATGGACTTGTGGGCAGCTACGCTGGGGCCATGGACTTGTGGGCAGCTACGCTGGGGCCATGGACTTGTGGGCAGCTACGCTGGGGCCATGGACTTGTGGGCAGCTACGCTGGGGCCATGGACTTGTGGGCAGCTACGCTGGGGCCATGGACTTGTGGGCAGCTAGGCTGGGGCCATGGACTTGTGGGCAGCTAGGCTGGGGCCATGGACTTGTGGGCAGCTAGGCTGGGGCCATGGACGTATGGGCAGCTACGCTGGGGCCATGGACGTATGGGCAGCTACGCTGGGGCCATGGACGTATGGGCAGCTACGCTGGGGCCATGGACGTATGGGCAGCTACGCTGGGGCCATGGACGTATGGCAGCTACGCTGGGGCCATGGACGTTATGGTCAGCTACGCTGGGGCCATGGACTTATGGTCAGCTACGCTGGGGCCATGGACTTATGGTCAGCTACGCTGGGGCCACGGACGTATGGGCAGCTACGCTGGGGCCACAGACGTATGGGCGGCTACGCTGGGGCCACGGACGTATGGGCGGCTACGCTGGGGCCACGGACGTTATGGGCGGCTACGCTGGGGCCATGGACTTATGGGGAGGCTACGCTGGGGCCATGGACTTATGGGAAGCTACGCTGGGGCCATGGACTTATGGGAAGCTACGCTGGGGCCATGGACTTATGGTCAGCTACGCTTGGGCCACGGACGTATGGGCAGCTACGCTGGGGCCACGGACGTATGGGCAGCTACGCTGGGGCCACGGACGTATGGGCAGCTACGCTGGGGCCATGGACTTATGGGAGGCTACGCTGGGGCCATGGACTTATGGGAAGCTACGCTGGGGCCATGGACTTATGGGAAGCTACGCTGGGGCCATGGACTTATGGGCAGCTACGCTGGGGCCATGGACTTATGGGCAGCTACACTGGGGCTCCAGGGCAAGCCAGCATAGCCATCCTATAGATGGGGAAAAAAGGTGAGAGAAATTCTTAATGCTGCGTTTGAAGACATGACAGGCTGCAATGGAAAATCTAACAGCAGTATAATATAGTAGGTAGGTTACTAGAATTCTCATTTCAGGACAAGGATTTAAATGGTTAGTTCTCCTTTACTAAAGAAAACTGCCGCTTTTATCAAAGTTATATAGGTGTACGCCATTTATGCACCTTCTCAAGCTTGGCTGAAAAGCTCCCGGAGATGGCATCATCCCATCCTGCTTTGTTGCTAGGATGTTGCTAAGACACGCGCCAACCAATTCAAACCCCTTCAAATTCTCCCCTATGACAGTAGCTCTAAACTCAGAGATGCGGAGATGGAGGAGATCATGGATCACACACGAGCAAGGGTTTGAGAACTCACTCTTGTAATGCTGGGAGTGAGGAGTAATGGCTGGGAGTGTCTTAGTAACATCCTAGCAACAAGGAAGAATAGGTTGATACCACCTCTGGGAGTTTTTTGGCCAGGCTTCAGGATGTATATAAATTGCCCACACCTATAACAATCAGTAAAAGCCATACAGTTTTTTTTTTTTTAATCTACAGGCAGCCCTTACCTGCATAGGAAAGTTTTTGATTTTTTTAAATTTAATTTGATTGAATTTAGAGGACAATAGAAAAGTATTTAAAAAAATGACTCTGTTCCATGCAATACATTCATGTCTGCATAGACGTAAAAGCCCAGGTACTACATCCAGTGTCCTTCGCGAGTCTTCAAGCGGTGTGTGCCACTAATAGCAAGAAGAGATGTCAATCTGTCACACTGCGCTACGTATTTGTTGGGATTCAGGTCTTCCCACACCAGGCTGGATTCAGGTCTTCCCACACCAGGCTGGATTCAGGTCTTCCCACACCAGGCTGGATTCGGATCTTCCCACACCAGGCTGGATTCGGGTCTTCCCACACCAGGCTGGATTCGGGTCTTCCCACACCAGGCTGGATTCAGGTCTTCCCACACCAGACTGGATTTTGGTCTTCCCACACCAGGCTGGATTCAGGTCTTCCCATACCAGGCTGGATTCGGGTCTTCCCACACCAGGCTGGATTCTGGATTCGGGTCTTCCCACACCAGACTGGATTAAGGTCTTCCCACACCAGACTGGATTCAGGTCTACCCACACCAGGCTGGATTCAGGTCTTCCCACACCAGGCTGGATTCAGGTCTCCCCACACCAGGCTGGATTCAGGTCTTCCCACACCAGGCTGGATTAAGGTCTTCCCACACCAGGCTGGATTCAGGTCTTCCCACACCAGGCTGGATTCAGGTCTTCCCACACCAGGCTGGATTCAGGTCTTATTGAAGAACAGAGAACGTGGAAGGAGATAATATTTGAAATAATACTGGAAACAGGAAGTATTGTTAGATATGCATTAAAGGGAAAAATAGCTCACAACAGGAAATGTCTCCCTGTGAACGAGCTCCTAGAGAGTTCTCATGCCAAGTGCTGGCAAAACTTCCTGTGCTCAGCCAGACGCGGAACAAGCCAGCGTGGGTCACCCGCCATCCTGGTACTGCAGGGCATGATGGGACTTTTAGTTCCTTGCATGGGGAAGATTCCAATAGATTATTTTACATAGTTAGTCTAGCTGAAAAAGACAAAAGTCCATCCAGGTCAACCATTAAAAAAAAAAAAAAAAGTTAAAATCCTACACCCACAGTTGATCCAGAACCAAAAACCAGCAAAGCACGATCCAATTTGCTCCTGCAGGGGAAAACATTCCTTCCTGATCCCCCGGGAGGCAATCGGATATTCCCTGGATCAACTTTACCTATAAATGTTATATCCAGTTATGTTGTATACTGGTCTTGCAGTAAAAAAAATAAAGTTTCTTACTGGGCTTTTTTCCCCCCAATGTGGTCATTAAAATAAACACAATATTTATTTGTTTATTTCAGGTACTTATATAGCGCCGTCAATTTACGCAGCGCTTTACATATATATTGTACATTCACATCAGTCCCTAAAAACGTAGGTTAATAAAAAGTCTGTTTAGCTGTGTTTGCATAATGCGTTTATGTGCGTTTATGTTTATGTGCATTTGCATTTAAAGATAAGCACAGGAGAACCTCCCAAATGCTCAGAATGCACTGAAAAGTGGTAAATTATGAACTATTTCAGACTGTTTTATAGAAATACAGAGAGTAGAAGCAGAGACAGCAGTATGTGTTGAGATTAGCTTAGGTATGAGTTGCTCATTAACATTTCTTTTGTTTCCAAGGGTGGGAAAGGTCTTGGGTGGAGGGAGTCATTAAGGCCACCTGGCAGGGGGTCTTTCTGAGGAATTTGGGGTGTGAATGTCATTACCATATATTTTGTTTCCAAGGGTGGGAGAGGTCTGAGGTGTGAATTGGTCATTACAATGTGTGACAAGCTTAGTAGGAACATCCTGTGTTCAGTGTGTTGACCATTTGAGTACCCTGAAAACGCTTTGCATGCACTTTTCATGATGAAAAAAGGCTCTGGACAGTATCAGGAACTGGAAGAGTTAAAAAAAAGTTTCAAACGCTTATAAACGCAATTTGCCGCGCTTACAAGTGTTTTTCGTTTGAAACGCTGATATAATAACCTGCATTTAATTTCTGCATTAAAAAAAACAACTGTAAACTCAAATGCCTGTAAATGACTGTAAACGAAGATGTGTACATGGACACATAGGAAAACATTAGACTGAGTTCAGGGGCTGCTGAAAAAAAAAACGCAGAACAGCTCCTTAACGTGAGTTTATCAGCTGCAGTGTACATGAGCTCTAACACTGCTACATATTTAATATAATATTACAGAGCAAAAATTAAACAATCAATAGTGATGAAACAATAAAACGTTCACTGTCCCAAATAATCAGTGATTAAGCGCTCCAATAAAACACTGTGTCAAAACAAAATGTGTTCTTTAAATGATATCTCCACACCATCCGCGACCACCTTCCAGTACAATCCACACTCACCAGATTTGATGGACTCACGAATCTGGTGAGTGTGGATTGTACTGGAAGGTGGTCACGGATGGTGTGCGGCTTTAAAGAACACATTTCGTTTTGGCACCGTGTTTTATTGGAGCGCTTAATCACCGTTTATTTGGCATAGTGAACTTTTTATTGTTTCATCACTATTGTTTAATTTTTGCGCTGTAATATTATATTTTATGTTTAATGGGTCTTTTACCTTGCGAGGAGAAGCATTACTTATTTTGAGTTTATTTTTCACTTAAGCGCGGGTTAATTTATTGCTTTTTTGACTGCTAAACATTTGCTTACCAATAACGGAGCCATTGAGGAAAAGTGCAACTCCCATGAGAACCCCGACACACAGGGCGAGGATGAAGGGCCGCCGGCGGCCCCATTTAAGTGTGCAGCGGTCACTGGCCGAGCCAATGAGAGGAGTAAAAATATCAAACCAAGGATGGGGCTCAGGAACCATGTCAGGCTGTAGTACTGTTCAGGAAGACCTGCGGGAAGAGAGACATTCGCCGTTATTATAGACGATCAGTGCGGACATGGAGGTAAAACAGACTCGAATAATGTTAGTTCATATCAGATACGAGGGAGAACAGAGGAGGAAGGTGACCAGACACATCAAGAGACAGTCGAAGGATATGAAAATCTCCAAATTGTGTGCAATGATTCTGTACAAAAATTATGGACAATCTATAAATATATATTACACACATATACATACACACTGGTACTCTTGGCACTTTTTATTTGGTTATATCCTGATTAAATTTATATACACTGAAATACCAGAAATACTTAGATTTAACAGATTAAAAGAAAGTGCAAGAGTACCTGTACTGCATCCCTTCTACTCCATCATCAGCGGTGGATGGGAGTCTACTGAAGACTTGTGCACAGGCAGTACTGAGTGAATTAGGTGTGGCTCACTACACCTATATGAGAGCTTGCTGGACATCCCATTACAAAACCAAAACCATTAATAAAGTTTGCCACCTCTTCCACCATGGCCAATTCTATGGAGTTGGCTTCCTCTTCCTCCATGGCCACTAATACAGAATTGTCTTCCTCCATGACCATTAATACAAAGTTGACCCTCTGTTCCTCCATGGCCATTAAAATGGAATTTGCCCCCGCGTCTTCCATGGCAATAAATATGGAGTTGGTCCTAGCTTCCTCCATGGCCATTAAGCCCTGGTTCACATACCTGTATGTGCATTCCTGCAGGCCGCGGTTTGCGCAGGCAAGAGAGCCCATTCCTTTGAATGGACTCCCGTGCCCCGGGACACGCAAGGAAGAAGTCCCTGCACTTCTTTGGAAACCGCAGCCCGCACCGGAATCTCGGTTCCCAGTGCGGTTGCTTGCGATTTCCAGTACGGGCGGCGTGCCATTAGAATTAACGGCACCCGCCCACGGGTCCCCATTCTTCTGTATGCTGCACAGATTTTTGTGGGGATCCGCAGCAGCACCACCCGTACATATGTGAACCGACCCTTATAAGGAGTTGACCCCCACTTCCCCCATGGACACTAATATGAATTTGGAGCCTTCTTCCCCCATGGCCATTAATACAGAGTTGGCCCTCTCTTCCCTTATGGACATTAATATGAAGTTGGCCTCCTTTTCTTCCATGGCTAACAATACAGAATTGTCTTTCCCCATGGCCATTAATATGGAGGTGCCCTCTCTTCCCCCATGGCCATTAATATGGGGATGGCCCTCTCTTCCCCCATGGCCATTAATATGGGGATGGCCCTCTCTTCCCCCATTCCCCTTCCACTGGCCATTAATATGGGGATGGCCCTCTCTTCCCCCATGGCCATTAATATGGGGATGGCCCTCTCTCTTCCCCCATGGCCATTAATATGGGGATGGCCCTCTCTTCCCCCATGGCCATTAATATGGGGATGGCCCTCCCTTACCCCATGGCCATTAATATGGGGATGGCCCTCTCTTCCCCCATGTCCATTAACATGGGGATGGCCCTCCCTTACCCATGGCCATTAAAATAGAATTGCCCCCTTCTTCCCCCATGGCCTTTAATATAGAGTTGCCCCCATTCTCCTCCTTGGCCATTACTATGGAGTTGTCCCCCTTTTCCCCCCATGGCTATTAAATTAGTGTTGGTCCCCCCCCCCCCCCCCTTTGTGGCTCTACCAGCCTCCGCTCTTCTGGGAAAACTTTCCACAAGATTTTGGAGTGTGTCTGTGGGAACCTGTGCTTATTTGTGAGGTCAAGTACTGATGTGGGATGAGAAGACATGACTTGTGTTCCAATAATTCCCAAATGGCTTCAGTAGGATTAAAGTCAGGGCTGTTTGCAGGACAATCAAGTTCCTCCACACCAAACTCATCAAACCATGTCTTTATGGTGCTGGTTTTGTACACAGAGGTACAGTCCTGGAAGAACAGAAAAAAGACCTTCCTCAAAAATTGCTACCACAAGGTTGGTAAAGTACAACTGTCTAAAACGTACTGGGGTGTCACAACCCTAATAGCATCCTTCGCTGGCCTGTGAATGGACAGTATAGGGGAAGCAGAAGACTGCAGAGCTCATCTTTCTCTCATTTTGCTCTCTCCTCCAGTCAGCATTCCTTCACCAACACATGAACCAACTGGTCATTGTGTTGCTTCTACCCTCATCCTCCCCAAAATCTCTAGTACAGGAATTACAAGAGGCTGATTCCAGCTCAAGTTCAAGTACTCGCTGTACACTGCTTATACTAACCACTTCCAGTCCAGACACTTTCCCCCCCTTCCAGTCCGGACACTTTCCCCCCTTTCACCACCCTTCCAGTCCGGACACTTTCCCCCCTTCCAGTCCGGACACTTTTTCACCCCCTTCCCCCCCTTCCGGACACTTTCCCCCCCCCTTCCAGTCCGGACACTTTCCCCCCCTTCCAGTCCGGACACTTTCCCCCCCTTCCAGTCCGGACACTTTCACCCCCTTCCTGTCCAGACCAATTTTCAGCTTTCAGCACTGTCACACTTTGGATGACAATTGCGCGGTCATGCAACACCGTACCCATATGAATATTTTAGCATTTTTTTTTGACAGATAAAACTTTATTTTGGTGGTATTTATTCCCCACTGGGATTTTAATTTTTTTGCTATATAAATGAAAAAGTTCAAACAATTTGAAAAAAAAAAAAAGTGTTTTTCTTATAACATTTTTCAAAAACAATCTTTCTTCATAAATCTTGGCCAAAATGTATTCAGCTATATTTTTAGTAAAACAAAGACAACCCAAATTGGTTTATAACCAAAAATTATCATTTTATTTTTTAACATACCGTCACCCTAGCAGTACACTGTGACCATAGTGGCACTGTACGACTTGTGGGGGGGGTGATGAAGACTTTTTTTTTTTCTTTTTTTGCACTGATTGCTTTTACACCCATAAAGGCTGTAAAAGCAATCATTTCTCCTCTCTGGCTGCACTCTTGGAGCCATTGAGAAATACTGTGAGAGCTGTGATTGGTCACAGCTTGTCACATGGTACAAGGCTGTTGTGAATAGCCCTGTACCATGTGACCTCTGTGATCATTCACAGATTTCACTAGTAGTAATCAATGATGTCAGGAAGTGACATCTTGCTTACTACTGTTCATGTGATCACTGGTTGACCAATCGGTGATCACATGATCGTCCCGATCGTCTCACAGGGAGGCCCCGTACAGCGATCAGCGTTCTGCTGTGTCCTCTGGACACAGTGGGCACCGGATCGCGGTGCCACATGCTCCCAGGGAGCGCACACAGTCAGTGAATGCGGGGGCCATTTATAAATGGCCACCCGCTTCAGCACTGCTCCCGTCCAGCCGTTTATGTACATGGGCCGGACGGGAAGTGGTTAAAAAAAAAATGTAAATGATGAATTAATGAATACAGAGCTACAACCATTTGTGTCTGTTATATGTGTTTCAAAGTTTAGCTTTGGTCGGTGAATACAGTATATATGATACATCAAAGAAGCTAGAATAGTTATGTTCAGAGGGGAGCTCAACGGCACCACATCTCCAATTGTCAGAAATTGCGAAGAAGAGAGGAAAAATTTTTTATTAATTATTTTTGACAATTATTTAATTATGAATTATAAATGATACATACGTATACACATAGACAGCACACCAGTATTGGTTCTGGCGAATCAGACTTACGCAAACACTCCCTAAAAATATATATCGAGTACAAAAGGCTGCAACACCGCCAAACTCAGATGTTCCAAAACGCGTGGCTCTGTAGAGACGCGCAGGGCTGCCATTCATTCTTAATGGCACCCCCACGTGGCTAAACCAGCAGCATGTTGGCAGGCGCGAGAACCACAGGGAAACTGCATGCTGCAAAAGCACCAAGCGTTTTCTCCACAGCTACGTTTTGTAAAAGGTGCAGGCAACTTTTTTTTTCTTTTTTGCACGGATTGCTTTTATACCCATAAAGGCTGTAAAAGCAATCATTTCTCCTTCTCTCTGGCTGCATTCTTGCAGCCATTGAGAAATACTGTGTGAGCTGTGATTGGTCACAGCTTGTCACATGGTACAAGCATGTTGTGACATGCTGTACCATGTGACCTCTGTGATCATTCCCAGATTTCACAAGTAGTAAGCAATGAAGTCAGGATTGTGATCACTGATTGGCCAATCAGGGATCACATGAGTCAGCACCTCACACAGAGGTCCCGTACCGGATCGCGGTGCCGCGCGCTCCCAGTGAGCGCGCACAGGCAGTGAATGCGGGGGCCATTTATAAACAGCCACCCGCTTCAGCACTGCTCCTTTCCGGCAGCATGTTGGCGGGTGCGAGAACCGCAGGGAAACTGCATGCTGCAAAAGCACCATGCGTTTTCTCCACAGCTACGTTTTGAAAAAGGTGCAGGCAACTTTTTTTTCTTTTTTTTTGCACTGATTGCTTTTACACCCATAAAGCCTGTAAAAGCAGTCATTTCTCCTTCTCTCTGGCTGTATTCTTGCAGCCATTGAGAAATACTGTGAGAGCTGTGATTGATCACAGCTTGCCACATGGTACAAGGCTGTTGTGAATAGCACTGTACCATGTGATCTCTGTGATCATTCACAGATTTTACAAGTAGTAAGCAATGATGTCAGTAATGTGATCACTGATTGGCCAATCAGGGATCATTCACAGATTTCACAAGTAGTAAGCAATGATGTCAGGAATGTGATCACTGATTGGCCAATCAGGGATCACATGAATCTGGACCTCACACAGAGGTCCCGTACCGGATCGCGGTGCCACGCGCTCCCAGGGAGCGCGCACAGGCAGTGAATGCGGGGGCCGTTTATAAACGGCCACTCACTTCAGCACTGATTCTGTCCGGCAGCATGTTGGCGGGGTGCGAGAACCACAGGGAAACTGCATGCTGCAAAAGCACCATGCGCGTTCTTCGCGGCTACGTTTTGAAAGAGGTGCAGGCACCTTTTCTTTTTTGCAGGAAATGTGGGCACAGCA